GTGGAAATAATTATGTAATCAATGATTGTTTGCAATAATAATTGTCTTAAATATACAATCAATTGATTATTGAAATACTCACACATTTATAGCCATTAAATACAATCAATTAGTTTTCAATCACTTTTAATGTCAAATGAAATTACAATTACTTTCTCATAAATTCAATGAATTGTTAACAAAATTAATTAAATAATTAAGACTTTAATTAAATGCAATGAAAACGTTAATTCTCTGACTTTTGTTTACAAACAATAATCGCAACAAAACTTCAGACTTGGAGTCAGACATAGAGTGAGACATCTGTTGACAGGAAATGGCATTCAATACACATATAGTCTCTTATAATGACTGAATTGAGTCTCAGATCCAGAAGTTGTGCACAAATTGTAACCAATATTAGCGAACAAATATTATGTGAGAAAACTTTAATTCATAAAATAGTTATTAAAAACAAAACATTATTTAAAAAGTAATTGAAAAACAAATTAATGTTGAGAAGTGAGCGCTCGTCAACTGCTCTCACATCCAGTTCTGTCTCTTATGTCCGCAAATAATATAAAGTTTAGTATTTTTAACGATATTTGAAATACAGTTAATTAGCGTTGAAATGAAGGCATTTATAAATTTCTATTCCGACCACAAATACGGGTTTCATTCAGTTTCGGGCATTTGCTATACAATCGCTGTTCGAGTCGTCGGCACTCATTCTCCTTACCATTGGTTTGAATGACAAGTTTTGTCAAACGTTTCAATTGTGACAAACAATTGATGTCCTCTTCAGTCGTTTCAAAACTATTTATACAAATATTTCTTAGTTTTGGTAAATGTTTGTCGATATCAGCGAAGAAATTGTCGCCAATTGTGTGCGGTTTTGGTATATCTATGTTTAAATGTGTTAATCGTTTGCATTCAGATAGTATTTCACACGTTATGTCAATGTCTTTATCCGAAAGTGTTGTTATCTCCAGTCGTTGTATTTGTCGGAAGTATTTATTGATAATATCCGACATTATATCCGATGGATTGTCAAACACTTCAAGACTTAATTCCCGTAGTTTACGACAATTGACACCAATTTGTTTCAATCCATTTTCTACACCAATTCTTATGCAATCCATAAAGTAGTAAATGTAAAGTCTTTTCATTTTTCTCATTCGTGACAATCCTTTCATCAATATATCAATTGATTTCTCGTCGTTTTTGCTGTCGATTCTTATGTCAATTGATTTCAAACTATTTCTATAGTAATCAACAAAAGTGTGGATTCTTGTCGTGTCTTCTCTTTTATAAGTGATTTTAAAGTGAATCATATTTTTAAAGTAAACTTCAATTTCATCACTAATGAAATGCGAAACACTAAAGATGGCATATTTGCAGTTAAATTGAATCAAATTTTCACAACTCTTCCTATTCTTCGCGAGTGATGTCCGTATTGACTGATCACTTCTAATACTCGACGGGAAATTTATTGCTTTTAATTGTTTGGCAAACTTTGAGAAAAATTTATCAATCATTTCAACACTAATTTTATTCCAACTCATTTGAAATGATTGCAATTTATGGCAATGTTTTATAATTAACTCCAGTGTTGGGTCAGTTATACTGACATACGATGCTTTAAAATGTGTGATATTTTGACATTTTTTTAGTATTAACTCAAATGTTGATAATTCAGAGCAATTGTTGTCTTCTTTATATTCAATACCCGTTAGTGTATTGAATACAAGTCTTCGCCACTGTTTTGATAGACATTCACAACGGAATCGGTCTTCAAATGTGAGGAAAGACAACAACTCTTCGCACAAATCGTCTCCAAATCTATCGAAAGACTCTTTGCTATAGATTTGTGGCATTTTTCACATAAAATTATTGAAAAAACACTAAATTAATACTTAATTAACATTTAAATCACTACTCAATCAACATATTGTACGATAAAAATAAAAATCAACTTAAATTTTCTGAAGATTTCTTGAGCTCTCCTTGAATTGCACTGAATATTGTGTTTAAAATATCGCAGTTTTGTAACCAAAACGATGTGAAAAACAAAAGGATTACTGGTTTTAGCAAAAGATAGATATAATTAAATCAATAGAAATAATACACAAAACTATTGAATACTTTAAATATATGTTTAAATAAAACAGGAATGCAATGGATTTGGTGTTAATCTTCTAATGCCTTTCAATGGGATTAAGTATGGATTTGATGGTACAGTCGTTGACCCGGATATCAATGAGATATAAATTATTAATTTATAAACAATTAAATATTTAATGAATTATAAACTGACTATCAATTCGAGTATAACTTTATATTTTATAGTTTAAGTGAATAACAAATACTTTTATTAGATTTCAATACAATAACTACTTTGGTATTAATTTACTGTTAACTACAGTATAATTGTAACACAAATTTTATACAAATATACAGTCTTTTCAATGATTATAACCGCATATCTATAGTCTCTACCAATTGATCACTCAATACAACAATCATTGCCACCAAAAACAGTGTCACAAATGCGTTGAATAATCACTTCCAGAATGTCTTGTTTTGTACACATTTTAGCACTAAATCACAGATAATGGACACTAAGTGTTGCGTGTCTTCTACACAATCACATCAATTGTCACAAAACTGTTTATTAATGTCCGGCAAAACAAGTTTCCCGATCTTCGGCTCCGATGGCGACCAATGGCTCGGATTTGCCATAAATTTATTGTATTTGTCGTTCAACTGGTCGTCGTTGGCGTCCATTCCGGTCACGATATGATCCGTAAGTCGTGTCAACTCTTCGGCCAATCTATTGAACGACTTTTTCAACTCTTTGGGAGCACTGATAATGGCGTCGATATTGTCTTTCAGTTCATGTGTCGCCTCAGAGATGCCGTCGAAGACTCTCTGTTGTGGTGTCTTCTCTATGGCTTCAGTCGTGTGCCTTAGAGTGGGATCTGTTGACAAGAAATGTCAGTTTTAGTCATAATTCAGACAATAAAGCGGTAAAAGAGTGCAAACCGTTGGCCACACGTATCGGCGCTTTGAAGCACTGGTCGAGTGAGTCGTCGGACTCGTTGTCCGTCAGTTGAATCTCGTATCCGATGTCGTACTCCGAGTCCTAACCGCAGATCAAGTCATCACATGATAAACAAATAGGCGTTAAAAGTGTGCGCAAAACAAATGCAATACAAAACCTCATCAGTTGTGGTAAAGCTATCGTAGGATTGGCTGTCATTGTCGGCCACATCTTTGCCATCACTTATCGGTTGATCACAAGTCGTGGACTTCGAGGCAGAGGTCGACGTCTGTGGCGGAGGCGAAGAAGTGGTCGATTGAGTAAAGCCTGTAATGAAAGACATAAACAACTCGTAAATCATTAATCAATGGATGATATGATGGACTCAAAGAGTGTGGACTGACTTGTGTTGGCCCGAAGTCTCTGGAGTTTACACCGGATTTGATCCGTATTTCTGAGATAACCCTTAGTCTGAAGACACGACTGGATGTGTCGGTGAAGCAGTCGTTTGGTAGTGAAGGCCGTGGAGTCAGTTGTGGACCAAATGGCCATCAGAGCCGACGTCTCACTGAATGACCACTTCTTCAGTTCAGACGCCGAAGAAGTGGACGCTTTGGATGAGCTCTTGAGCGCACTCTTGAGCGCACACTTTCGCACCACTCGATGGCCGACACCTCTGGTTGTGGTCATCGGCGGTAATGACTGGCCATCGGGTGATGTGTTGTCTGTCATAACGAGTGATNCTTGAGCGCACTCTTGAGCGCACACTTTCGCACCACTCGATGGCCGACACCTCTGGTTGTGGTCATCGGCGGTAATGACTGGCCATCGGGTGATGTGTTGTCTGTCATAACGAGTGATGTTGTGGTCATCGATGGTGTGATGTGTGGACACAATTCACACGTGTTTTACAATTCATTCAAACATTTGTTTTGTTTTGTTGTTTGGGTTTTAAACACAAAACTCAGCGCTTATTATGTCTCACATTAATAACGTCAACAACAATAACGTCTCTCTCTCTCTCTCTCTCTCTCTCCCTCCCTCCCCTAATTAATTAATGCAATTAATTAAACAATTAATTAAATGCACTAAGATTAAAATATAAGTTAGTAATTATTGTGATCATGCTAAATTACTAATTTATGCATTGATTAAATAAATAGTAATGATTCATTACTAATGATATATACTTTTGATTTAGTTAACAATTATTTTATAAAGTTTTAAGTAATTTATTTGAATTGCAATTAAATAATTAATACACAATTTGTTTATAGAAAGTAATTGTTTGTAATAAATAACTAAAGATTTATGTCAGTCTTGACAATGAATTCAACACAAAGCTTGTTATAATCACTGAATTGAGTCTCAGATACAGAAGTTGTGCCCAAATTGTAACCAATATTAAGAAAGTATAGGAAATAAATATTTATTATAATTTTCGTTATTTATATAATAGTAATTAAATCAAAACTCTGATTATACAGGTTTAGTATGATATGCGAAACACAGATAATTATTAGAAAAACTAATTAAGTATTTGAAATACAGATAATTAAGGACTCGTATTAAGTATTAACAAAACTAAATTCCAAGTAAATCATTGATGTAAACATTATTAAACATCTCTTCCATAAGGCTCTCATCAATTACCGGCACTTCAAACGTCTCCCTTAACTGATTTTCAATGCGACACAAATTGTGGGTCAGTTTCGGACAATTATTAACCAATAGTTGTTCATATTGTGGACATAACTCGGCTTTCATTTCGTTAGGATTGGTATAAATGAATGCTTTTCTCAAATGCTTTAATTGAGACAAACAATTGATGGCTTCTTCAGTGATAACAATAATGTTATAAGGTATGACATACCTGGACACTATTCCCTTGGTCTTAGGCCACATTCAACCGACGGCACACCAGAAACACACATTACAAACACTATTACATTAGGCCTTTATTACATACGAAATTAAGGTGCCGTAATTATAGGCGATTACAAACTAAATAACTACTGTAAGTACAAGTGTACTTTTAATGGAGATCGCCATTTAATTTGAAAACATTATACACATTGAAAACATAAAACACTTATGAAAAATTAAAAGTACGATTGTACTTAAAGTTTAAATTCAGTAATTTGAAACCAAATTACTGATCTCATTGATAATAATGGGAATAAATGGGCGTAAATAAATTGCACTATTTTAATGGGAAATCTAAAAGTCAAAAATATTTTAATGTTTTTGTTAACTAAACAGAAAATTACTCAAATATTAATGGTTAAAAAATAGAGTAAATGTTTTTACTTTTTCAATAATAATCTGAAAATAATTTCAGACATTAGATAAGTAATAGAAAATACTGTTTATGAAAAAAGTCTAAATTTTATTAAAATTTGTTCCTAAAATTTGTTAACTATTTTAATGTTAATTGAAATCAAACAATAATTTGTTACAAACACTATAAATACCAAACAAAAACGTATGTAAGATTATTCAGTTTTTATGCATTAAATAAACTTATTGTAAAAGTTAAAGTATCAAAATTGTCTCATTTATTCTCTACAAAACTTGGTTATTGTGGTTAAGAGTGATTCACTACTGACTGTCCGCCGAACTACTGACTGTCCGCCGAACGACTGACTGTCCGCCGAACGACTGACTGTCCGTTGAACTACTGACTGTCCGCCGAACTACTGACTGTCCGTTGAACTACTGACTGTCCGCCGAACTACTGACTGTCCGTTGAACTACTGACTGTCCGCCGAACTACTGACTGTCCGCCGAACTACTGACTGTCCGCTGAACTACCGATTGATACCGTAAGAGTTGTTTGATTGCTAATAATGATAATGTTTAAGGCATGACGTAAGTCACGCCACCTATTGATAGTAACATACAGTATTAACCAAGTATTATGTATGGGATAACCAAGATACCAAGTTTTAGGGGGTACTTCTCCAGAAGTTATGTAGTGACACCTGGGTAACCCCAACCACCCCTGTAGAGAATATACATGTATGTGCACATTCACTGCGCACGCTCCCATGTTAGCACCTTATGTATACATGTGTGTTGTTGGACTTCACACAAAGCGTAGGCTCTGACGTAACAATACCTCTCTCGGAAACCTCCATAGAGTGGCCCCACCTGTGTGCACATTCACTGCGCACGCTCCCATGTTAGCACCTTATGTATACATGTGTGTTGTTGGACTTCACACATAGTGTAGGCTCTGACGTAACAATACCCTTCTCGGGAACTCTATATAGTTAATACTAGTGAATGATATATTTCATGTAATGGTTCCACCGCTCGGGAATTACATTATAACTATAGTCATTTATGTTTACTAATAAATAAAACGATTTGGGCAATCGCTCATAACATATACTAACATATTTGACTAACAATGGCAACAAATGATATCGAAGTGAGCAGTTGTGAGATGAGAGGCCCGGTAAGACCTCCTCTTATGACATAGTTATGTGGAGTGTAGCTCGGGTAAGGGCACACCACACAACAATATGTTGATTCGTATATTATATCAATTTCTTAAATTAATCAAAGTTATAATTGTCATAGATATGAAATAAATGTGAAATTCGTGACATGGGTCTATGGCAAAAATGTTATGTTTATTTTAGGCTAGTAAGTTTTAATGAAACGTTTACAATAAGTAAATTGTAAAATCTCTTGTACAACTATTGAAATTCTATTTTTAATATAGAATTTTTCTAATTAAATAACTAATTTTATAATGATGTTTTATAAATTACATGTTAGCAATTAATGTGTTAAGGACTAGGAAATTTTATACATTTTTAAATTACTATTTATTGTATAAGCAATTATAATCTGTCTAGTTGATTATTCACTAATATATCTACAACAGCTGCTCAATGAAAAATGAGTTTAAATGATTATATTTAATCAAATAATATGATATGTATTTAATACAATAAAAAACAATTTATTGTACCAATTTACTTTATATTGTTGAAATACTGTACATAAAGTTTGTGATAATTCAATTATTATTTTTTACTAATCATCAATAATTAATCATTAATAATTAGTCACCAATTAATTGTATAATTTATATTATATAAATATATCAGATGAACAGCTTATTAATTAGAATTGCACTTAATAAATATTTGGTATAAATAAGGCTTAATTTTTTATTAAAATATAATTTGCTACAGATTTTAAATAAAGTTTATTTTGAAAATAATTAATATTTTAAATAACTAACAAAATGATGAAATTAATTGCATGTTTGACAATAGTGTTGGCCACTACTGTCTACGCAAATAATCTACCATTTAGAGAATGCAGTATGTATTTTGGATTTAAAAATAACTATATCAAATAAATTATTTAAAATAATCATGTTTATACTTAATTTATTGTAGAAGATATTGTGGCTGGTAAAACATTTAAGTTTGACATTAAATCCTGTAATGGCACCGAATTTTGTCAAATTAAACGTGGACAACCGTTGGAAATAACACTTGAATTTGAACCTAGTAAGTTAATAACAATATTAAAACCTAGTTATTGCTTTATTTTAAATCTCTCTCTCTCTCTCTCTCTCTCTCTCTCTCTCT